GGCAAGGTACTTCATCATTTAAATCAATTTCCAAGCTTTTATGAAATTTCCACACTCAAGGTCATTTGAAGGTCGTAGTGTCATAGGTCAACGAACTCGCCTTGTCCTCAGCTATCATCGTATGATAATAAAAATATATGGTTCCATTTAAAAAAAACACCGATGACTTTGTAATCTCGAAAAAAATGACCTTGAGCAAAATTTTTTACCAATCAGAATATGTGCCCCATCGGATACAATAACTTTCTCTTCTAACATTTTTTTCTATCATGAAAAACAAGCGAGATATTTGAGATGCCAGAGTTAGCTGGGACACTCTGTATAATGTATACGATGATAAAATTTTGTAATTTCGCTTCCTTTCAGCATCACGCGAGAATGAATTACGTTTCTCCAGGAAAGAAATTTATATAATGATTAGAGTTCATTTGAATAGTAAGTTAAGTATTATTATTCATCAGTTGGAGGTGCAAATAGCAGGGGCAAGTGGATATCCCATTCAAATGGATAGAACAATGAAATGTGCTTTATCCAAGTTATTTTCGACGATGAGGAACACCTGGTAAAAAGCGAAAAGAATGGAAAGTAAATTTTATTCCATGTTCCACGAATGGCTTGAAGCTTCTATAGCTTTCCGTATACCTGAGTCAATCACTAGTGAAACAGCAGGCCCCGAGACAATGCGCCATAAACGTGGCCGCAAACCTGCAAACTTTTCTGAAGTAAGCGAACGATCGAAACGGCGAAAAACGGACGAAATTCGTCATAGCTCTTCGTCAGAGGAATTATGTTTCGCAAGTCGATAAGTCTCCGAGCTTCCGGAAGCGTGGACGGATCCAAGGTGACACAAGATTTAATATCTAATACCCCATCGCGAGGTAGACAATATCGAAAAGCAATTGAGGCAAAAAAGTATCAACTCTTTCCAGTGATACTGCTCATTCACTCATAATGGAGCTTAAATTGTCCAAAAATCAGTATTTAGGATTAAGGGCAATTAGCAAAGAAAACAAATGTAATTTGTACCCACCATATGAAATAGTATTGGAAGCTGAACGTCGATGTTACCCAAACAAAACGGATATTTGTATAACAGAACATAGTGCAGAAGTGAAATTGTAGGCTCTTCTAAATATAACATGTACACGTATTATATTACTGCAGAAAGATGTTGTACAAAATTTAACGTCAGAAGATGTGCGGAATATGATTTTAATTTGCAAGTGGGGCTGTGACGGAAGCTCTGGACACAGTGTGTATAAACAGAAATTTATCGATGGGACCAAGTCAAATGCCAATATTTTCTTGACTTCCTTGGTACCCATACGATTGGTCTGCGACAAAGAAAGGAAAATTGTTTGACAAAATCCACGCACATCTTCTTCCCGATTTTGCAGACCAATGAGAATTCAATTGGTACATGAAGTCTCATACATAAAAAACGAAATAAAAGAACTCGTTCCTTCTAATTCAAATATTAATGGGAAGGAGATTTCTATTAATTTTAATATGGCGATGATAATGATTGATGGAAAAATATGCAATGCTATATCCTCTACGAAGTGTACACAACGATGTTACTTATGTGATGTAACATCTAAAGAATTAAATTCTATTGATTCAATGATTAAGAAGAAAGTTGTCGAAGATAATTTTCGTTTTGTTTCGGTTTATCCACATTACACTCATGGATAAAATTTTTCGAATGTTGCTTACATTTATTGTATAAACTAGATATTGTTAAGAGGTCGAACCGTGTCAAGGGTCCGACAGGTGACCGAGCCTGTCGACTCAGTCGGGTTTAATTAGGGAAGGAAAAAGACGCACAGTCGACCCTTTTTTTTTTTAGGGGATAGTGTCGGACTCTAACCGACTAAAAACCCCGCGATGGCTCTGGAGAAGCAGCGAAGATGGAGGGGGCCGAGGACCCCTTGCGGATTGCGCTCGCCCCCCCCCCCCTCGCTGTACCGTAATGGTGCTTAAGAATGATCTTGGTGCAAAGAAAAGGAAAAGAGAGGCCAAATTGCCTAAGAGAGAACCTGTAAACAGGTCCCCTTTTTAACTTTAGTTCTCCACCCGCCTAGGAGCCATTTCTAGGCGGGGGTACGTCAAATTCTGGACTATATGGTCAAGAAGATAAAATATAAAATAAAATCTAGAGTATAAGTGACAGGTAGAGAACCTGACTTGTGGAGCTATGAAAAGTAGGGCTCTAAGTAGTAGAAAACACTTATACATGTCCTATAAATACATTAAGGGGAGTATCCATGGGTATAAATAACATGTATACATATCTGATAAATAACATAAATACATATCTGATAAATAAAATTGAGATATAGAACATATCTTATAAACAACGGATATCTATATCAAATAAATAACATTGAGGAGATAGATAGAAAATGGTTATGATGGCTAATGGATAAATCAAGAATGAATGAATGTAGGAATATATATTCATGAGCAGAGTCACATTTCACTTTTGCCTTCCTCTAGCGATTCTCTCGCGTTCGTCCTGTTCCTTTAATCGCAGGACGGCGCGCGAGAACTGTGAGAAAGCTGTTCAGTTGTCTTTGGACAGTACAATGGCTTCGAATATGCCCTGCAAAGAGTCGGTTAGGCCTAAGGTTGCGAAAAGTTGACATCGTTCTTCTGTCCAGGCTGGACAGTCAAAGAGAGTATGCTCTCTGGTGTCAAGTCGTGCCTGACAGTGGTGGCATTGCGGGGATATTTCTTTCTTGATTTTGAATAGGAATTTGCCGAAGCATCCATGGCCCGACAACATCTGCGACATGTAAAAGTCGATGCTTCCATGTTCGCGTTTGGCCCAAGTATGCAGTAAAGGAGCCACGACCGGATTCAATGATTGTGAAGAGCCCGGGGTCAAGGTGAGGCGCCTTTCCCACTGCGCCAACATGATCTCCTTCCTTTCTTTTTTAATAGCATTAAGAAGCGGTAAAGGTGTTCGCGTGGTCGCTTTGACACTCTCTATGGCAGAGTATGCAAGTGCGTTTACTGTTGCTTGTATGTCAATTGGGACGCAATTGGCTAGGATCAGCGTTGCGTCCAAGGAAACCGTCTTGTAGCAGCAGGACGTACGATTCGCCATTCTTTTTTGCGCTGATAGGAGTTCTTTAGTAAGGAACTTGCTTTTGAGTACGGCATCTGCCCATACTGGGGAGCCGTATAGCGCCATAGAGTTAAAGGTATTTGTGTAGAGTCTTCTAACAAACTGGTTAGGACCGTTCAGGTTAGGTAGGATTCTAGAGATACTGTTGACGTAACCCGACAGTCTAGGTATCAGGTACTCGATGTGAGCATTGAATGAGAGCTTATGGTCAATATACAGCCCTAGGTATTTAAAATTGGCAGCGAAGGGTACTTTCGTGTTGTCGATCATGATATAATTGTTGTTATGATTAAATGTATTTTGTTTCGTGCTGTAACATACAACCGCAGTTTTACTTGCAGCGACTTGTAGGCCTATGTGCCTAATTTGATTGACTATCGTCTGAGTTGCCAGGGATGCTATTGCTCGGCACCTTTTAAGATTTTTATCTGCTATCAGAATCAACGTATCATCAGCGTACCCTATAACCTCTGCACTAGGAGGGATTTGGGTGCGCAAGACACTGTCATATCCAATGTTCCACAGGGACGCAGCAAGCACAGAACCCTGTGGTAACCTTTCTTTTCACTATTTTGTTGCTTCTATTTAACATTATGACTTCTCTGTTTATTAAATAACTACGATTTATATTCACTATGTAATCTAGAAATTCTTTGTTTATTAATGCATTTATAATTGTGTTCCATGATAGTGTATTAAAAGGTAACTGCCCTTCCTCCATCGATATGACGGGTTGGTGCCACAAATGTGGCAAACAGGACCACCCTGCCAACACGTGCACCTCTGATAACATGACATGTAAGCTGTGTGAGAGAAATAAATTCAACGCAGATCATCGTATGGGCTCGGCCAAATGTACATCATATAATAATATAAAGAAACAGTCGGACACCCGTCCCTCTTCTAGAGGTGCTGTTGATTCTAACACGATAAGGATGGAGGGTACCTTGTCAACCGCGCAGCAATAATGCCTCGTCCGAAACATTACTGTCCCTTTTATAACTACATGCATTCCCAAACGTCTTCAGTTAATGATAAAATCAACATCCTACAAATAAATGTAAATCATGCGTCGGCAGCACAGGCACTGCTCGAACAACGTATGATCAAAGAAGATGTTGATATTGCCCTGGTCAGTGAACCTCTCAATTAAAAAAAAATGGGGTGGATAGGCGCAGATGGCAATAAAGCAGCGATAGTCGTAAATACTAAAAAAATAAGTAATGTGTCTACTTTATTCAACGAAAACAACATAGTAGCAATCAGCGCGGACGGTAATACCTTCATTTCAGTATATTTCCCTCCGACCGAGAAGAGTGTAGATTTCGAAGATCGTCTTAAAATTATTGAAAAAATACTACAGGAGTCTAAAGGTACTCCGGTAATATTAGGCGGTGACGTTAACGCCCGCAGTAAGCTATGGGGTGACGTAAAAACCAATTTAGGCCCAGCACTTAAAGCACTGGGCTGGTCTACGATCGAGCAGGTGCACGTTAGCCACAGACCAACCAATTTGCACTGAGCGTCTGGAAATTTCGAAAACTATTGAGCGTTGACCCCAACATTGAAATATATATTGTTGTACTATATCTACATTACAACATATGTGAGACTCATCAAAATCCGTGTCCCAGACATCTCGGCCTCCTCTTGTTAGATTTTCCCCGCGACTTCAGTGCGTTTACCGAAGTAGGAATTTTCTTACCGTAAGAGTTGACTAATAAATAGAGTATTGTATCGAGTATTTAGAGAATATAAGACTGTGTGTTTAAACTCTTAGATTCGTTCTAATATTCATTCAAATCCTGATTCCATATTAGCTGATAACCGGAGTATCTTGCGAACGGTATGTCTTAGCCGCTGAACGAAGTTGACCTTCCAATCCGACTACCTTTAATTACCTAGTGGCTAAGAGAGACTGACCCTCCCTCCGTCGTCCACGTCCTGCAGTTACCGAGGCTAATACTAAGTGTTAGATTAGGGTCGTCTGTCCATCAAGTACTCGTACGCTCTCTCGCATACTCCAACCTTCTCTCTTCTCCGAAGTCCTCCTGCGGCACGTTCAGCTGCAATACACGAGGAGACGCTCGCTTCAATCTTTTCATCCAATACATCCACTGCAAAGCGTAAACGCAACCAGCAAAAACTCGTCTCTGATCATAGCAACCTGGAGATCTCTAAAGGCTCCAGTAATGGCAACCGAGAAAATAAAAGGAAGCCGAGAAAAAGCTACCGAGAAGGTGACTCCTCCTCTACTGAACTCGAGGACGCGGAGGCAAATGCTTCATCCTTACACGCCGAACCTTCTCCCAACCTCGCTGCAATTCTGCGTGAATGTGCACAAGAGGTTGAGTTAGTAAGAACTAAATCATCGAATCTCCAAGGTACTTATAATAAAAAGTTGAGACTAGCGGCAGAAAAAATCAAGAAAGTTAGCTCAGAAATTGTCTCCAGTGCCTTCAAAGAGACATACGATCGTCAAAGAATCAACGATCTGATCTCTGAGAATAACAGACTTAATAAAGTAATCCGTAAGCTTGAATCTAAAGTTAAATCACTAGAGGATCAAATGCATCAAACATACCAAGCTCATAAAGAATCCTTAAATAACTTACAACCAGTGACTTCAAACGGCCTCGATGCTGAAAAGCTTATCGACACGGTAAATCACAGCATCGATGCAAAATTAAATACCTTTAAAAAGGAAATCCTATCCCTATTTGCTTCCAACCTGAACCAAACACGTCGTAATACGAATACATCATATAATCTTCCTGTCCCTGTTGCTGATCCTTCTCCTCTCCCGGACAATCCTCCTCCGAATTTAACCGCCTCACCGAGCGTATCTTCTTCAAAACATGCCGAAATTTGGAGCACAATCGTTAAGAAAAAAGCAAAAATGAGAGTTCAATCTAATATAACCGCGAACAATTACCCTCCACCACAGAATCCATCTAACTTCCCTCCCCTTCCGCAGCACCTTCCTCTGTCTACGAATCCCAATCCTAAATCTGTCGCGAAGAAACCGAAAAACACGGAAGTTATTTATTTGACTACGAGCGATAATAGCAACCTAAAACTTCCACAGATCATTGCTAAAGCTAGAGAAAATATCAATTTACATGAACTAGGAATAGATCACATAAAACCACGCGCATCTCTAAGCGGTGGCCTCATTCTAGAGATTCCAAAAAAGAATGAAGGCGGAGCTGCAGCGAACCTCGCTCAAAAAATCCGAGGTTTATTTAATCCTAATGATATCCGTGTCTCCTGTCCAATTAAATACAAAGAAATACTGTTAACCAGCTTAGACTGCTCAGTATCTCAACAGGAGGTCACCGACGCTCTCAAAACCATATGCGGCAAAAACGAAAATTTTATCCTAGGCCCGATCCGTCAAAATCCTCGCGGTAGCGCCACGCTATGGTGTAAATGTGATGAGGCCGCTGTATTTAAATTAGTATCCAGACGCTCAGTGCAAATTGGTTGGTCTGTGGCTAACGTGCACCTGCTCGATCCTGGACCAGCCCAGTGCTTTAAGTGCTGGGCCTACGGTCATGTCAGAGGTAACTGCCCTTCCTCCATCGATATGACGGGGTGGTGCCACAAATGTGGCAAACAGGGCCACCCTGCCAACACGTGCACCTCTGATAACATGACATGTAAGCTGTGTGAGAGAAATAAATTCAACGCAGATCATCGTATGGGCTCGGCCAAATGTACATCATATAATAATATAAAGAAACAGTCGGACACCCGTCCCTCTTCTAGAGGTACTGTTGATTCTAACACGATAAGGACGGAGGGTACCTTGTCAACCGCGCAGCAATAATGCCTCGTCCGAAACATTACTGTCCCTTTTATAACTACATGCATTCCCAAACGTCTTCAGTTAATGATAAAATCAACATCCTACAAATAAATGTAAATCATGCGTCGGCAGCACAGGCACTGCTCGAACAACGTATGATCAAAGAAGATGTTGATATTGATCTGGTCAGTGAACCTCTCAATTAAAAAAAAATGGGGTGGATAGGCGCAGATGGCAATAAAGCAGCGATAGTCGTAAATACTAAAAAAATAAGTAATGTGTCTACTTTATTCAACGAAAACAACATAGTAGCAATCAGCGCGGATGGTAATACCTTCATTTCAGTATATTTCCCTCCGACCGAGAAGCGTGTAGATTTCGAAGATCGTCTTAAAATTATTGAAAAAATACTACGGGAGTCTAAAGGTACTCCGGTAATATTAGGCGGTGACGTTAACGCCCGCAGTAAGCTATGGGGTGACGTTAAAACCAATTTAAGGGGAAGAATCATGGAAAAATGGATACAGTCGCATAACCTCCTTGTGATGAACACAGGCTCTACCCCTACCTGTGTTCGTCCACGAGGAAGCTCGATAGTTGACATTACCTTAGCCAACATGTTAGCTTTGCAACAGATATCCGCGTGGAAAGTCTCGGACGATGAATCGATGTCCGACCATCTGTACATTCAGTTCCGTTACACTCTCCCAACTCAAGCCATAGCGAAACCGTATGCATTCCCGCGATGGAATAATAAAACTTTTAACCCTGAGCTGTGCGACGCAGCAATTAATACGCTCAGCTGGTGCTATTCCACTGACAACGCACTTTCTATCTCCACTATAAACTCATCCCTGCTGCAAGCTACTAAAGCCTCTCTCAAAAAAAAGATTCGTACTTATAAACTTCCGGCGCAGCCTTGGTGGTCTGCAGGTATTAACGACCTGCGCAATGCCTGCACCAAAACTCGCAGACGCTGGCAGCGCCTAAAACGGAAAAATAACATCTCAGAGGAAGCCACTTCTCGAGCCGAACTTGAATATAGATCCTGTAAACGGAAGCTAAAAACCGCAATTAGGAAAGCTAAGGAAGGTCAGTGGAAACAGACCTTAGCCATATTAGACGACGACCCATGGGGTCGCCCATATAAGTGGACCACAAGAAAAGACCCGAATAGTAATCAGTCGATAACAGAGTCTCTCGATCCCACGATTCTTGAGACAGTTCTCGACGGTCTCTTTCCCCATATGACCTCGTCGATCCCAGTAAATTCCATGACCTCCTGGGATCCTAATCTATCAATTCAACCAGAAGAGATCAAAAATGCAATCAAAAGAATGCTAAGAAAAGCTACAGCTCCCGGCCCATCCGGCATACCCCATTTTGTCACAGCTCGTCCCGTTGAAAACAACGTACGCGCGGTATGTAATGTTTTTTCGCGCTGCCTAGCTGAAAGTAAGTTCCCGGATGCTTGGAAAACAGCGAAACTCATTCTGTTGCGCAAACCAGGCAAACTCCTTGACCAACCCTCAGCCTATAGACCCATATGCTTACTCGACGACATTGGAAAACTTTTCGAAAGAATTATCTCCTATCGAATCGACAACCACGCCACGGCCTGTCTGATCGCCAATATGGATTCCGTTAGAGGACGTAGCACGCTGCAGGCCCTTATAAGAGTAGTCCAAAAAATCAGAAACTTAACATCCGACGGTTCCTATGTTATCACAGTAAGCGTCGATATTAGCAACGCCTTTAATACACTACCATGGAACACAATTATAAATGCATTAATAAACAAAGAATTTCCAGATTACATAGTGAATATAATTCGTAGCTACTTAATAAACAGAGAAGTCATAATGTTAAATAGAAGCAACAAAATAGTGAAAAGAAAGGTTACCGCAGGAGTACCGCAGGGCTCTGTGCTTGCTGCGTCCCTGGATATGACAGTGTCTTGCGCACCCAAATCCCTCCTAGTGCAGAGGTTATAGGGTGCGCTGATGATACGTTGATTCTGATAGCAGATAAAAATCTTAAAAGGTGCCGAGCAATAGCATCCCTGGCAACTCAGGCGATACTCAACCAAATTAGGCACATAGGTCTACAAGTCGCCGCTAGTAAAACTGCGGCTGTATGTTACAGCACGATACAAAATACATTTAAGCATAACAACAATTATATCATGATCGACAACACAAAAGTACCCTTCGCTGCCAATTTTAAATAACTAGGACTGTATATTGACCATAAGCTCTCATTCAATGCTCACATCGAGTACCTGATACCTAGACTGTCGGGTTACGTCAACAGTATCTCTAGAATCCTACCTAACCTGAACGGTTTTTAAAAAAAAAAAAAAGGGTCGCCTGTGCATCTTTATCCTTCCCTAATTAAACCCGACCGAGTCGACATACTGGGTTACCTGTCGGGCCCTTGGCACGGATCAACCTCGTAACAGCCCACTTCGACACACAGCCTTTTCAAAAGCCTTCCTCAATGAATTTATGTTTCGTAGAGTTTTAGTTTATCGAAACATTCTCTGGGTATCATACGTGATATCCGGAGTTCATTTATTAGCTAGAATTCCTTGTAATGAAACTGCATGAGTTTACAAGTCAATATACAATATACTTATTTCTTTTTCCGTTTCTCACACATCTTTTCAAGCGTGAAGTATAGAACTTATTGTATTTATACATAACATAATATAATATATGTAATGAAGGCAGAACGGTGGGACGCACTTGAGTGCTGAGTGCCAAGCGCGAGAAACGACTATAACTTCCAGCCAGTTTAAGAAATTTGGTTCTCAATAGTACTTTGTGCACCAAGGGCTGAAAATGGGTCTTTCCGGGCGAGGTTGATGTTTGAGCACGAGTGGCAGTCGAGGGCGCTACAGGCGCCCGAGATGAACACGAGCTGCTCAGAACATCATCCGAGCCTGGAAGGGTCCATTCGGCCCGTGTCGCACACAATATTTTTCATAAAAAGGGCATAAAAAAGACCATCTTTCGTCGCCTACAAAGCGGATTGAAAATAGAGTTTTCCCGCCCTAGGGCGGTAAAATCGAGCTTACGCCGGGCGGGAAAACTCTATTTTCGGTCCACTTTATAGGCGCCGAAAATGGTCTTTTTCGGCCTCGTGTTATGAAAAAGAAATTTCAGTCCTTGTACTGTTGACATTTGGCTCTGTTGACTAATGAATTTGCCGACCACTACCCCAGCTTCATGAATTTTTTTCAACCTCCTGTTATCAGTACTTTTCATTCTGTAACTATTTAGACCAAAATACAATTTTAATATTGTAGTTTCCATTAAATTGCAAGATTTATGGTAATTATGGCAAAAGGTATCCAAGCTATTTAAATGAGTCTCCGATATGTTTCAGATATACTATTTATCTATCATCATGAATTCTATCAACTTTCTATCATCAATAGTTTAGAAGATGTAATTGTTTATGTAAAATACAGATTGTAATAACCATGAAAACCAACCGCTGAAAGTACGGATTTGTCAAATCGAGCCAATGACTCGCGTGGCCGCCTAAAGACATGAATTGTTAATTAACAGCGTAATTAGTAACGTACGATTATACAGGGTATAAACCTACTAGTGGGCAATATTTGAAGATCGTATTCTAGGCGCTAAAGTAAGACGAAAATCAAGAGTGAGAAAATTACAGTACGAGCTTCATTAATTAGTTATTAATAAATGCAAATTGGGCGTTTTTGCGCCTGAATCAGGCAATTCGACTTGCATCGTCATATAAGTGACAGCTGATCGCCGTCGGTCGATACACGTTGATACGTCGAAGCAAGCCCGTAGCTATAAGAAAATGATGTACTCACCCTGTGTGCTTAGAGGCAGAAAATATGTAAAAATACTGGCATACAACCTGATTACTCGGTAAATCCACAAGAGCATGTTGAAATTCGCTCTATGGGATTTTCAAATTCGTTCGACGACGATCAGCTGTCACTCATACACTCCCCTCAGGAGCTGCAGGGGGTTTGAAAACCCCCTGTAGTGCGGGCTTGGCGACCCCAGTTGCACCCCATGCGATGGTTAACCAGTCCCGAGTGTTATGGGGCACCATAAATGGTAGACCCTGCGTCCTCGAACCTCCGACCAGTAATGCTTTGACTGGTACCACGGGGCCCGGACTGCGCGCGGGGGGCCGCCTGTGGAGCTGTGTGAACCTATACTCTGTTCACCGAGAGTGTGGGACCGTTTCGCGCAGCTTAGAAGGTGGTGGGGGTCGTAACGAACCCCCTCCACACGGTTCAGTATACACGGTATTATTATATATATATACATTGAGATGCGCAGAACGAGCGAAAACTAAACTGTGCACAGTCCCGGACTCTCGGTGAACGGAGTATAGTACCTGAGTTTAAGTAAACAATTCAAACGATCATGCATTTGATTACCCTTGGTTTGTACCCGTTTGTACCACCCTTCATTTCGTTTGTACCCTTAAGGGATCAAAGATCAGGAGAGTGGGAAAAATAGGTAGCACCCCATTTGAAGATATCACAATATGCCAATGGTCATTCGATTAAGCATCATTTGTACCCGTTTATACTACCTTCACATTCGTTTGTACCCCCGGTGGTTCGTTTGTACTGCGATTGGAAGATAGGGGTGGAAGCTAACTTCCACGTTTTTCGAGATATTCGAAATCCGCGAACCGGTGCTGTTTCAGAAGCGTTTGTACCCCCAGGGGTTCGTTTGTACCGCGATCGGAAGACAGGGTGGAAGCTAACTTCCACGTTGTTCGAGATATTCCAAATCCGCAAACGGGTGCTAATTTTTTCAACCATTGAGCAAGTCAAGGATTCTGTACACTGTTTAGAAGTATACAGTCTGGCATCGGGCAACTCACGTGATCGGATGACCCGTGAGTACAATTGACTTGCAATTGTGAACCACTAATTTCTTTAGTTAGTGGTACTGCATTTTTAAATGCAGTGCGACGCCAGATCATTGCAACGCTTTTTGCCTTTGGTTCTATTGAATCCAATTCTTTATGAATATTAGTATTGATAGTTTTTTGTCTTGCCGTAGTATTCTTTGAGTAGTTGTAATGGGCCTCTTGTCTCGACAGACGTCATTATGTGTTTCCCATTTACCACATATTCTCCGTGTACGTGCGATGTAATGACCTACACTTCCGGTTCCTTCGTATTCGATGGCAGAAACGAGTTTATATGCGCGCTCATGTAAGTGCAAATCAATTGGTATTTGATGTAATTTGAAGGTTCCTTTCCAATCTTTTGCATTATAATGTTTTGCGAGGTTTTCACATTGCGAACATTCTATGTCAATGAATAGGAGTTGCCCATAGTCAAAAGTATGTGCCGTGTTCTCACTATTGCACTGACTACATTTCTTATTCTTATATGAATATTGTTCGTTTATGGCGCTTTGTATGCATATAGGCATGCAGATGATTTATGTAGAAAAGTTTTAGATTTATGTTGGCAATGCAAGCAGTTCAGGTTTACTTTGCATGAAAATTCATCTTTCAATACCTGTTTTGCAATTAGATTTGTTATATTGCAAATGCAATCCATGCGTTGTAGCGGTTACAGGAGTAAAAAATTTGTATAATATGGATGCTCTCTCTTTATATTCTTTTATTGATGATTCGTTCTTCTTCGATAACTGTTTCACAAAGCGAAATAGATCATTTTGTGATTCTTCTATGTACAGGTGAACATTTATCCTGTCGTGGTAATCAACTAATAACACTTGAGTGATCAAGTACAATCACACAATCGTTATAGCCTTTTTATCAAGTATCACCGGATTCGAAATATTAGCATTTTTAAGCAAAGGTAGTATTGTCCTAAATTTTGGTTTCTGATGAATGCTTTCGACATCCGGATAATTACGTAAGTATTTACCACGACTGGTTACTTTGACGATTCTGCCTCTCCAATTTTCTATTCATTCAGATGACTATTTGTATTAACATTACTATCAATAATGTTGTCATCTTGAGTTGATATATCATTTAACGCGAAAGGACTACTGCATTTCGCATGCGTTACATCGTCATTCGACGAACGGATCTTTATCTCATTTGCCGGAGAATCAGGTTCGTTACTTGAATTAAGGGGGTAGACTCCGATGACAGCGCGATAAGGTAGACTGTCAACGTTATCCACAAAATTAGCCAAAAATATGGGTTTACGGGAATCGACTTTTCGTCCTTATATGAGAACATTTTTTGATCGTCAGGTACCTCTTCAGAAAGAGGAAAGTTCAATCTAGCGCGGTCTGGTCATTATTTAATCAGAATATGCTGATATTTAGTAATATTAGCGTTATAATATGGACGAAAAATCGTAGTTACAATGCCTGTGTTTAGAAACGATTTTTTATTAAAAACAGATTGTTTTCGTTAAAATAATGACCAGACCGCGCTAGATTGAACTTTCCTCTTTCTGAAGAGGTACCTGACGATCAAAATATGTTCTCATATAAGGACGAAAAGTCGATTCCCGTAAACCCATAGCCTAGCAATGCTTTTCCCATGGTTACCGATAAAACAGAGCAAAAAATGTGTCAAGTTTAATTGACCCATTATGAACAAGGCGGCACCTTTGAAGGTTGCCGATGTGTCATTTTAAAAAGGTTACCTTGGCACATGGACTGATACAAATAGATACACACACAATTTTCAGAAAAGTTGCCGGTCCGCAATGTCTTAACCTAATTTTAAAAATCGCATTTCATTTATTTAGAACAATAATTA